AGCCCTAGCAGGAGGCTGGGGCAGAGCTGGAGGTAAGAAGAGATGGTACTGGACAGACAGCTGCAGTTTGAATTGGAGGAGAGATTGGGAGAAGTAGGTTCTTGGAGATCCTTTTTAGTATCAAACATCCAGCCCTGTTTGTTCCCAGACCCCTTCGTCAAATCATTTCCCAGACCCCAGCTCCTCTCTGCCCTTTCCCCATTATCAATTTCCTCGACCCTTACACCATTTTTATCCCTCAACATCCATCCCTGAAGATGAATCTTACCCCCAACCCACCACCTGAGCCCCCTCTGGTGGGACTCCTGGCGCCATTAGCTCCCAGGAATGAGGCACACAGAGATCCCTGGGAGGACCATTGTGAACCTGAATCGTGCAGAGGTGAGAGATGCAGGTTGTGGAATGAGGTGGCAGTGGTGAAGAGAAGAGTTTTATTTCCAGGCCTGCAGTCTCTAATGTCCCCTTGCCCCAATATCCCCCCCAAGAATTCCAGGAGACTTCTCAGCTCCCCGGGCAAGGGCTCTCCAGCTTCACGCTCTTGGCTGCTTCTCCAATCAGCTCCCAGAAACTTCCGAACTCTAGTTTGGAGTCATTGCAGCTGCTCAAGTTGGCGATTTTCTCTTCTAGCCCACAGTTGCTCTGACGGGAGAGAAGACACCCACAGCTTAGAGAGAGGGCACCTTCAGATCTTCCCACCCCACCCTGCCCAGGGGCAGGAAGCAGAACCCAAGCCTACCTGGCCTTGGCAAGGGGAAAGGGCTGGGGGTTGCTAGTACCAAGGGCTGAGAGTGTGGGTGGGGTCTTGAGCTACTTGCTTGGGAAGTCACGGTAATAGCTGGGGCGGGGTGCACTCCCTCAGTACCGGCATGAGGTGGGGCAGCTGCTGGGTGACCAGGTCCTGTAGCTCGGAGGGAGTCAGTGTCTCCTTCCCACCCTCCACTGAGTACTGGTGGAAGTTCTTGATGAGGGTCTGAATGGCCCTCTCCACATCACTGAATTCCTGGGCGTCCTGAGGGCAGGGGACATCATCACCCACGTCAGGGAGTCTCCACCCACTCAGAGACCCCATGTATCCCCAGGAGTCCGCAAAGTCAACAAGGCAGAAGGGAGCTGGAAGGCACACAGACTCCCATCCACTCCCCAACCCGGAATCTAGCACCACCACCCCCACCCCCCCACTGGCCTCACAACTACAGCGGGCTCTGCCCTGAGCCAAAGGTTAGGCAAGCCTTCGCTCCCCACCCCCCAGGCCCCAGGCAGGGCAGGTCCTAGCACGCGGTCTTCCTGGGAAGACTCCATCACGGCTCCCTGTGTGGCATCAGGGAGGGGGTTGGGGCTCACATGCAGGACCCTTACAGGCTGACAGGCCAAGACGAGGGGTCTCAAGTCAATGGGGAAATATAGACCCTCAAGGTAGAGGAGCGTGGGGACAGAAACCCATGAGGAATGAATGGACCTACCTCCGCGTTGGCCGATCGGCACTGTCCCATGATGCCCTGGGTACACTTGCTCCTTTGGAGAGGTGTGTGGTCCTACAGCCTGCCCCAAAGGAGCTGATGGCTCATGTTCCACCTGCAGCAGAGGGGGGGCCTTCCGTGAGGGAAGAGCCCAGAATTCCGCCCTCAGCTCCCCGCTTTGGCTCCACCCCAGATATTCAGTGCCTCACCCAGGGGGTCAGAGCCAGCCCCCCACCAAGGCCCAGTTTCTGCCTAGGCTCCAGGAGCCCGCAGCCTGGCCTGCTTAGAGGGAATCCCTTAGGCCTCACCTCAGCTCATTCCTCCCACCTCCCCTAACCACCACCTCCGTTGTATACACACACACACACTTACACACACACACACATACACACACACACCCAGGACCTGTTCCCCTCAGCCATTCCCCTGGCAGTCTAGGGTAGAGTAGGAAGGTTAAGTGTGCCCCATGGGCAACGGGCAGCCCATTTGGGTGAAAAGAGCTGGGTTTCCTTACCTGCTGGCAGCCGCTGAGACAGGACAGGAGGAGCCAGCTCACCTGAGCTCAGCTCTTATACCTGGGGGAGGGGAGGGGAGGCAGAGGGCTGGGCCTCATCCCTAAGCCACCCCCGCTATTACAGCAGCCTGGGCTCTGAGCTAGGTCTGTGGGCCCCACCCGCCATTGGCCAGAGCAGAGAGCCTGCTCTCCCCACCCTGCCACCAGGAGGGAACCTTGGAGGGGTGAGGCTGGGATGCCCCTGGCCCTAGACCAGCATGCCAGGTTGTCGGGGGTGGAGGGAGGAAAGGCTGGGGAGACAGGAAGGGAAGGTATGGACACACCCCAGGGTTGAGCCTGGGAGGTGGAAGGACCAAGGAGAATTGTGGGGCAGGGAAGTGGCTGGGGTCAGCGTCAATAACCAGGAAACAAAGGAGCAGGGGCTGATCAAGGTAGGGTTTCTAGCCCAGAGGGAATGAGGGGTATGTGGGGCTGAGAGAGGTCCCCCAGGGGGGCTTCTCTGTACTTTCGATGTCACACACACACACACACACACACACACACACACACACACACACACTCTTCCCATCCAGGGCCAATTCGGATAGTGCCAGTTACGAGGACTGTCCAGACCCCGGCACTCGTCTTTCCCAGTCCTGGTGGCAGACATAAATGGGGAGCCCTTGGGTCAGGAGGAAGGGACCAGAGAAGGGTAACCTGGTAGAGGGAGCCAGCCAGACTGGGTGTTGTCCTGACTTCCCTTCTCCCAGAAAGCTCCCCTTGGTGGCTCATATGGGTTATCTGCCAAATAACTACCTCTCCAGACCAGTCTGGCTGGCTGTTCCTCCCTCGGAGCCCCCTGCTTTCTCTAACCCAGCAGCTGCACAGCAACCACCACCCCCCATTCCAGGACCCAGGATGACGTCCAAGGGACATTGGATTGCAAGTCCAGGAACTCAGCTTCAGTTCACCCTCAACCCAAGTGGCCCCCCTCACCTTCCCAGACCCAATGGCCTGGAATCTGAAGTAACTGGCGTGGAGTGGGGAGGGGTTACAGAGGGCAGAGGAGTCAGTGCGGGTCACAGCCAGAACAGGGTGGGCCCAGAGCCAGCTCCTGGGTGCTTCCCTAAACTCTGAGAGAAGAGCATACGTTCCAATGCCCTGCCATCCCTGTGTCTCCTTCTGGGGCTCCCCTGTGCTTTTGGTCTCAATAGGGGACCCTCTGTAACCATCTCAATGGAGGAACCCTTCCAAGAGCATCTCATTCTGAAGGTTCTTCTGAGGGACCTCAACCTGGGGACCCCTCTGAGGGTCTCTCAATCTGGAGGCTTCCCGGAGAGCATCTCAACCTGGGGTCCCTCTGAGGAATCTCAATCTGGGGGCCTTTTGCTAGGAGGTGGGGGAGAGCTTGTCTCAGCCTAAAATTTCCTCCAGACTAGTATCCAGTAAAACCAGTTGCCATCAAGTCGATTCCTACTCATGGCGACCCCATGCGTGTCACAGCAGAGCTGCACTCCACAGGGATTTCCGTGGCTGATTTTTCAGAAGTAGATCACCAGGCCTTTCTTCCGAGGTGTCTCTAGGTGACTTCCAACTGCCAATGTATCAGTTAGCAGCCGAGCACATTGAATGCACCATCCAGGGGCTGACAGACTAATCGCTGCCCCAGTGGACTCCACCTGACAGCACTGCAATGAGGAGTCCGCCCCTAGAAGGCAGCGCCCCGAGAGGCCCTGCCCCTGCTCCCTCTGGTGGCAGGTAGTGCAAACCTCATGCCCCTCAAACCATCAAGGAGAGGGAAAGCTGGGACGGCTGCGTGACCAAAAATTCTTCCTCCTGCAGCCCTACCACCACCCTCACTCCACGGTCCTTGAATCAGAACCTTATGTCCATCCTTCTCCTCCACCCTTGCTATGGAGAGAGGGGAGACAGAAGGGGAGTTTAGTGTTTTCGAGCTCCCATCCAGAGAGCATCCCAGTTCATCAATCACAGAGGCTCTGGAATTTCAACCCAGTTCCATCAAGTCTTGTCTTTGCGAGTTAACCTCTCCAAAATCCGTTCCTTCATCTTTAATACAGGACTTAAAAATAGTACCAACTCAAGGACCCTATCTCAAAAGTAGTACCCTATCTCAAAAGGCTTCGAAAATTAACTAAGAAAATGCAGATAAAATGATTAGCACCGTTACTAGCACATAGTGTTAGCCCTCGGCACGCGTTCACGCTATCATCATTCTATGGCACAAACCCCAGGAATAAGAGAGAGAGCTGGAAGCAAGGACCAGGCTCCTGAGTCCTGGTGGGGCGCGAGTCACCTCATCTGCCCCTTACCCAGATCTCTGTCGCTACCTTTCAATATTCATTCATCAACCACTTATTTATTGAGCACTGCACAAGACACGGAGCTAGGTGCTGTGGAATATGTGAAGATGAGTAACATTCCCTGCCTTCAAGGAGCCTGGGTGAAGCAAGCAGTTCGTGCTCAACTGATAATCTAAAGGTTAGCAGTTATAACTTACCCAGCAGCTCCTCAGAAGAAAGGCCTGGCAAACTGCTTCCACAAAGTTTACAGTCAAGAAAACCCTATCGAGCAGTTCTACTCTCTAACACTTGAGGTCGTTATGAGTTGGAATCCATTTGACGGCAACGGGTTCTTGCGCCTTCAAGGAGCTCATAATTTTCCGACCCACCCTCAGGCAGGGCAAAGCCTTCCCACCCCTAGTCTCAAGAGAAGCAGCCTTGGTGATGCAGTGTTTAAAGGCTCAGCTGCTAACCGAAAGGTCAGTGGCTCAAACCCACTAGCCACTCTGCAGGAGACAGATGTGGCAGTCTGCTTCTGTAAAGATTACAGCCTGGGAAGCCCTATGAGGCGGTTCTACTCTCCTATAGTGTCGCTATGAGTCGGAATCAACTTGACGGCAACAGATAGTCTCAAGAGAAAAAATGGGACGGGGGGGTCAATAAGTAGCACGCTTTTGTTTCAAGTGGGAAGCTTTATTTGGGAGGAGTGGGGTTCTGCCTGGACCGCCCGGACCTGCCCTGCCCGCCCCCATCCCCGCAGTTGGCTTTAGTTCCTCTGGATCTCCAGGGCCTTCTCCTTCCTGACCTCCTTGGCCAGCTCCCCAATCAGCCTCCAGTATTCATTGAACTTGAGCTCTGAGTCCTGATTCACGTCCAAGCTCTTCATCTTCTCATCTAGGGAGCCCACTTCCTGGGGAGACACCAAGAGGAAGGGCAGAGTTAGAAACTAGGGTTCTTGAGGCAAGCAGCAAGGAGAGAATTGCCAACAGCCATTCTCTGAGGGACAGTGAATGAAAATGGCGGTAGGGAGGCGCCTGACCTCCTCTAACTTCACAACGGGAAAGAGAATCAAGATCAACAACTCAAGGCTGATTTCTGTGAGGAAGAAGTCAGACATACCTCCTCTCTCCAAGCTTTTTACCAATTCTGACACCAGCCGTCCCTCCCACGGCACTCTCTACTTCTCTGCTGGGTTCGATAATTCTTTGCAATGGCCACACAGAACTCACAGACCACACCCAAAGTTATAGGGTTTATTAGGGAAGTAACAGGTTACGACTCAGGATCAGGCACGACTCAGGATACAGTTCTTCACTCAGGACAGCGTCTTCTCAGAGGTGCCCGCAGGCAGGCCTCACCCTGGCCCTTGGTCCCTCGGTTCCACCGCCCCTCAGCCCCCTGGCCCGGCCTCTGCCCTGCTTGGGCGAGCATTACAAAGCTCTTTAGCTCCACCAATAAGCACGTGGAGGCACGCTACTCTGCCAGCAAGCCTTGGCCCGAAGGCACTCAGCTCTCTCATTCTGTGGGTCAACAAGCCCAGCTCCATGGTCTAGGAAGCCCACTGTGCCATCTCGGACCGATCTCCTGGTTCTGCTGCCACCATTTCTCTTCCACTCCTTCTCACTGTCTTGTGCCATCTCCAGTGTTCCAACTCTGTCTTGTCTCCTGGGTCTAGAAAATTCTCAGTGCAGGGATCCTGGGTCCAAAGGACACACTCCACTCCCATCTCTTATTCTTGGTGGTAGTAAGATAAAAGGTGTGACTCAAGTAAGGGTGTGACTTGAATAAAGGTGGTGACTGGGATAAGGGTGGTGACTTGAGTCACAACCTTCTAGTAAGGCAGTGACTCAAGATACATCCTGCCCTAATCCTGACTCATGAACATAACGGACAACTCACTCCCAAATGGGACCATAACCACAGGTCTGGAGGCTAAGATTTATAACACATCACAAAATGGAGGATAATTACATCAGATCACAAAAATGGAAGATGACTACATCATTACATAGCTGCCAAATTACATCATTACATAACTGCAAAACCACTAAAAATCATGGCCTAGCCAAGTTGACACATAACCTTAACCTTCACAGGTTCCATACACCTTATTTGCAGAGTCCCCCCCCGCCCCCAGTCATTGTGTAGAAGTCACAAAGACTATGACTAGAAGGGCCATATTAAGTAATTCACTGCATCACAGAGGGAAGGGTGGCAGCCCCAGGACAGTGATGCCGTGGTACCCAACTCCAAGGGGCACCAAGAGGGGAAAGTGGAGGAATTTGATTTGTAACATTTGCTGTGGTGTAAATACTCCCATCATGGCCCATTTTGAACCACAAACATGATGTCAATGAAGGTTGCATATAATCAGCTCTGGCCAGTAGGTATGAGCTGGTCTCAGCACAGCACTGTGCCAGCCATGAGATTTGACCAAGGATATTCAGGGGGCTGTTGTAGGGATGGACCCAGTCTGGTCACCCTCAGAGCCACCCTCCTTCTTCACCAGAGCTGGACAAGTTCACATCACTTAGCTGTTCATTTGCATAATCCTAATGCCTTCCCAAGGAGCCCTGGGGGTGTAATGATTAAGCACTTGGCTGCTAATCAAAAGGTTGGCCGTTTGAACCCACCAGCTGCTCCGTGGGAGAAAGATATGGCAATCTGCCTCCGTAAAGATTTACAGCCTTGGAAACTCTGTGGGGCAGTTCTACTCTGTCTTATCGGGTCACTGTGAGTCTGAATCAACTTGACTGCAATGGGTTTTTGGTTTTAATGTCTTCCCGTTTTTCCAGCTGGGTCCTAAGCTGGTAGATCAGGGGAATGGCAAAGACACAGGGTACCTGGTTTTCTAGGGGGCCCTTCACAAAATCTTTCTCATTAGGCCTATGAAATCTATGGATACTGTAAGCTGGACCTTCACAATCAATGGATTTGTTGCTAGATAATCCCAATCAAAAAGATGATTTTTGAACAACGAATCAATGTCAAACCAGAGAAGGGTGCCTCAGGCAAAGCTTGATGCTCAACACCTGGATCAACATTTGGATGAAGGCGGAGAAGACTTGCCAAATCTAGAGATGGCACAAAGCTAATTCATAGAATAGCTAAACAAGAATTTTAAAGTCACACTCACACTTAATTGTAAAATACTGTAAGTATTGCCAGCGGAAGGTAAGGATGCCCAGTGTAACATTATACTGGGAGGGAAAAAAAAAAAAGAAATATGCAATTAGGCAAGAGAAAGAAATGAAAGTAAGTACTGGAAAAGAACATAACTGTATACTAAGGAAAACCAAAACTGTGATAAAGGCTAACACTTCAACAAGCGCAAGCACTTAATAGTGCTGACTGTTCCAGACATTCTGCTAAACACATTACATGCTTTACTTCATTTAATTCTCGTAGTCTGCTGCAATGAAAGGCTCCATGAACACAAGACTTTGTCCATCTTGCTCACCACTGTAACTCCAGTTCCTGGGAAAACGGCTGGCACATAGCAGCTACTGGTGGACCACTATAAGCTGAAGCCTAGGACCGTGTCAGGACAGGACATAGTAACTGCTCAATCAACACTGGTTGAGTAACTGGAAGACCAACCCAAGGAGGAGGGTATTGTTATGAGTCCACTTCACAGATGAGAAAATTAAGGCTCAGAAAGACTAAGTAACCAACCGAAGATGACAAACCTGCATTTGAACCTAGATTGTCTCAGAGTTTATCCTCTTATTCACGTCTTGGTATTTCTCAAAAAAAAGACTAAAAAACGATTAGAAATGATAAGGTGTCTGGTTACAATATTAATACACAAAAACCAATAACATTTAAGTATACAAATGTTAACCAGTTAGAAAACATAATGAGAAAAATCCCATTTAAAACAGTAAAAAATAAAATACTTAGGCATAAATTTAGAAATCAGATCTTTGTGGAGAAAACTGAACTGAGGAATGTAAAAGAAAACTTGAATAAACAGAAAAGCATAGCTTTTTCTTAGAAAGACTCAATAGTGTAAAGATGTCAATTCTCTCTAAAATACAATTTTACATAATTCCAATTTAAAATAGGAGTCTCTGAGGAGTGCAAACGATTAATGCACTTGGCTGCTAACCAAAAGGTTGGAGGTTCGAGTCCACCAGAGGATCCACTGAAGAAAGGCCTGGCAACATACTTCCCCAAAATCAGCCATTTAAAACACTATGGAGCACAGTCCTACTGTGATACACACGGGGTCGCCATGAGTCAGAGCTGACTCAACGGCAACTGGTACTGGTTCCATTAAAATCTGCAGGATTCTTTTTAACATAATAAAATGTTACTAAGATTCATCTTGAAAAATAAAACATTGGGATTCACCTGTAATATTCTGAAAACTACAAATGAGGAGAGAACCAACCCTACAGGGATTAGAGCATATTCTAAAACTACAGTAATTAAACCAGGTTGTTACTAAGTAAGTAATAAACGGATGGATGAAGCAGAATAAAGAGACCCAAAATACACATGGGAATTGAATAGGTAATAAAGGTGGCATTTCACATTAGTAGGAAAGTTTAAATAATAAAATAAACTCTGGGTTTTTGTTTGTTTTTTGTTGTTGTCTGTTAAAAAGGGAAGATCTTTCTAAGCATGACATAAAACACAAAAGCTATTCAGGAAAAGTGTGATAGATTTGACTCTACGAACTTGTTTTACATTCTGTATGGCAAAAACTACCGAAAACAAAGGACAAAGGGCAGATTAGGGGGAAATATTTGCAAGACTTGTAGTAGACAAAAGGCTAATGTCTTTATTCTGTAAAGAGCCATAAAAAAATCAACGGGAAAAAGAAAAACTCTTTGATAAAAAGAAATAAACAAGCAGTTCACCAAAAAAGTAATATAAATGTTCATCAAGAATATTTTTTGTAAATCAGAACAAGATCTCATTTTTACATATTAGAGTAACCCATGACCATCGAGTGGATTCCGACTAATAGTAACCTTATGGGACAGAGTAAAACTGTCCCACAGGGTTTCCAAGGCTGTAATCTTTACGGAAGCAGATTGCCACATCTCTCTCCCTCGGAGCAGCTGGTGGGTTGGAACCTCCGACTTTTCGGTTAGCAGCCAAGTGTGCTTAACCACTGCGCCACCAGGGCTCCTTACATTTTGATTAACGAACATTAAAAGCTTGATAATACCCAGTTTGGGCAAGGACGTGGAAAACGGGCGGGCACTTGTACGCACTGTTGACGGCCATGTAAACTGGTACAACCCTGTTGGGTGGCAGATTGGTAATAGTCATAAAAATTAAGAGAAAACATGCCTTTTGACTAAATATTTCTACTGATATTTACCCTGTACAGATATTATCCTTCAAGTACATAAAGATATATGAACATGGGTGTTTGCCAAAAGAAAAAAACCAGCACAAGAGAAATGTCAGTCCATAGAGGATTTAGCTAGTAACTGTGTGCTAACCCGTAGAATGGAATACAGTGCAGCGTTTTCTTTTCATTGATTGTAAACTTTATTAATACAATGTTAAAAATGTTATCTCAATTTTAAAACATTGTAAGAACCAGGGCTACCTTACAAACTGTAAAATATGAAAATATTTATGGAAACATGACTTTTTACTCTTTCACATTTTTTTTATTGTTGTAAAAAATATAGGTAACCCATTTGCCAATTTAACATTTTTCACATATAGAATTCAGTGAGATCAATTACATCAATCATGTTGTGCAACCATCACCCATCTCCTTTGCCAAATTTTTCATTCCCATAAATAAAAACTCATTGCTTCCGCAACAATTCCCCCCACCCCCCATTCTCTAGCCCCTGGTTAAAGACTATGAATGTTTGTTTAATTATCTGTTATTGTGTTTTTGGTGAAGGTTTATACAACAGTTTAGGTTCCCATTTG